TAAAAAAAAAAAAAAATTAAAGATATCAACCTATCAACCTGAAAGAAAGCTTTCAACCTCTAAGAAAGATAAATAAAAATAAGTCCATACATAAACAGAATGGCTAAGAACTAAAGACAAGAGATAATCTTAAAAGAAGTCAGAAAAATATATATACCTGAAATAAGGATACAAAGCTAATATTAAAAAATCAGTTGCATTTCTATATACTAATAATGAAGTAGCAAAAGAGAAATTAAGAAAACAATTCCATCCACAATTGCACCAAAAAGAAAAAAGTACCTAGGAATAAATTTAACCAAAGAGGTGAAAGACCTGTACTCCAAAAAGTATGCAACACTGATGAAAGAAACTGAAGAGGACACAAAATGAGAAAATATACCCCATGCTCATGAATAGGAAAATTTAATATTTAAATGTCCATACTACCCAAAGCAATCTACAGATTCAATGTAATCTTTATCAAAATACCAACAGCATTTTTCACAGAACTAAAACAAATACTAACATTTATGTGGAATCATAAAGGATCCCAAAGAGCCAAAGCAATCTTGAGAAAGAAGAACAAAGCTGTAGGTATCACAATTCTAGATTTCAAGATATACTACAAAGCTGTAGTAATCAAGAATATGGTAATGGCACAAAAAGAGACACATAAATCAATGGAACAGAACAGAGAGCCCAGAAACAAATCCACATTTATAAGGTCAATTAATACAATAAAGGAGGCAAGAATACACAACAGGGAATCTCTTCAATAAATGGCGCTGGGAAAACTGGACAGTTACATGCAAAAGAAAAAACTGGAATACTTTCTAGCATACCAAAATAAACTCAAAATGGATTAAAGACCTAAATGTGAGAACTGAAACCATAAAACTGCTAGAAGAGAACATACACGGTAATTTCTTTGACAATGACCATAGCAACGTTTTTCTAGTTATGTCTCCTAAGGCAAGGGAAACAAAAACAAAACTAAATACTAGGACTACATCAAAATAAAAAACCTTTCCACAGTGAAGAAAAGCAGCAACAAAACAAAAAGTCAACCTGAATGTGAGAAGATATTTTCAAATAATATATCCAATAAGGGGATAATATCCAAAATATATAAAGAACTTATACAACTCAAAACCAGAAAAACAAAATAATCCAATTTAAAAATGGGCAGAGGACCTGAATGGACATTTTTCCAAAGCGGTCAGACAGCCTACAGGCACGTGAAAAGATGCTTAACATTATTCATCATCAGGGAAATACAAATCAAAACCATAATGAGATATCATCTTGCATCTTAAAGATAAAAAATAACAAATGATGGTGAGGATATGGAGAAAAAAAGAACCTTTTTACACTACACATGGTGAGTGAGAATGTAAATTGGCACAGCCACTTTGGAAAACAGTATGGAGGTTCCTCAAAAATTTTAAAGTAGAAATTCCATATGATCCAGTAATTCCACTACTGGGTATTCACCCAAAGAAAATGAAAACACTAATCTGAAAAGATACATACATCCTTGTGTTTATTGCAGCATTAATTTACAATAGCCAAATTATGTAAGCAGTCCAAGTGTCCATCAACTGATAAACGGATAAAGAAGATGTGGTATGTTGTGTGTGTGTGTGTGTGTGTGCGCGCGCGCGCGCGTGTGCATATGTGGACTACTGCTCAGCCATAAAAAAGGATGAGATCTTGCCGTTTGTGACAACATGGATGGCTCTAGCGGGTATCATGCTAAGTGAAAAAGTCAGAGAAAGGCAAAACCATGGTTTCACTTATATGTGGAATCTAAAATACAAAACAAATGAATAAACAAAAAGCAGAATCAGACCTATAAATACAGAGAACAAACTGGTGGTTGATAGAGGGGAAGGGAGTGGGAGGATGGGTAGATGGGTCAGAGGAAGCAGGAGATACAGGCTTCCAGCTTTGGAATTGTAAGTCACAGGGATGGAAAGTACAGCATAGGGAATCTGGTCAGTGATATTGTAACAGCACTGCATGATGAGACACGGTGGCTACACTCGTGGTGAGCATAGCATAACACAACATATAATTGTTGATTACTATGTTGTATGCCTGAAACTAACGTAACATTATGTGTCAACTATACTCAAAAAACTTTTAAATTGAATTATGAAATGAAAAATATATACACATATGCAAAAAGAAGAAACTACTGGATTCAAAGGTTACTTTTCAACAGAAATAATGGGAGGCAA